TATCGTGCCAGGCAATATGAGTATAAATGCCGCAACGTTTGGAATATTAGAGAGGCGGAATAAAGAAGAAGGAGAAGAATATTCAGCTCGCATATAATTAAAATTTATCATTTTCTAACAAATTAAAAATTAAAATTCTTGATATCCTGATTGGGATATAGATTTTCTTGATATCCCAATCGGGATATCGAATTATATCCTGATCGGGATATAATTTCAAACTATATCCCATTCGGGATATAAAAAAAATTTTGCTGCAAAAAATGATATCCCAATCGGGATATGTCTCCACACTGCCCTTGTTTCCATGAATTGTCTTTGAAATTTTCACCTAAACATACACATATTCTTTGCAATATATCGTTATTAGCACTAAGAAACGATCTGAACTTTTGTTCCATTGAGTTCACATTCTTTTCCACTTGTAAGACTTTTTGCTTTAATTCTTCATTTCCTGTTTTCATTTCCTCTTTGATTTGTTTTAGTGACTCACGGGTCTTTTTCGATTCATCTTCCAACTTAAGTAGAACAGAATCGAGTTTGTTCGATAGTTCATCCAACTGCTTAGGAATAAATCCCGCAATAGTATTGGAATAAACAGATGTCCTTTGAGCTGGATTAAGACGAGAAAAGTCGACAAAAGGTGGCTGTCCCATAGCATATCCCATATGAGGAGGAGCTGTAGATACTTTCAACAGCATGTTTCGAGTAAGCGCAGCACGGTAGTCTTTTACCACGGGACATTTCGTATCATTAGAATTATGTTGATTTCCACAATGAATGCACTTTTGAACTCCACTACACTCGTGCTCTGTCAAATTTGCGCATTTTTCGCCGCAAACTTTACATGTAGATTCTCCTTGCTGGGGACAATTTTTTCGAAAATGATCAATTTTATAGCAATTCGAACAAATCAACACATTCGCTTGAGCATAATATTCCACCACTTTAAATTTCATATGCATAGCAAAGATCTGTCCACTAGCCAGTATATCTTGTCGACATTTCGCTGACTTTACTTCTATTTTAACGGAACGAACAGACTGCTGAGATTTATTTTTTAAACGAATTACGTTTACCACATCCACATATTGATTTTTTATGTCTTGCATGAATTCATCCCAATCACGATCCATTTGAAGGGAGACTGAAGGTAGAACTAAAGAAAGTTGTGGAGGAATAGATGACAGTTTTTTAACGTATTGAAGACCAACCAGAGTTTGTGGTCAATTCGTCTCATCATGAAGAAAAGAGAACGATTCAACATTTTCCACAAAAATAAGAAGACGGCATCCATTACCTTCCGTATGTACTAGACGATATGCTACAGTTTTCAAGTCAAACGTAAGAGTATTTTTCGCATAGTCAATAAGTTCCTCTACAACTTGTATCTCACGAACTATTTGCGTAAAAAGAATTGTAAACGGTGGAAACGGATATCTAGTAGACGCAAATCGACATGCGGCTACCGTAATCGGTAGATTAGCAGAAGGACCCTTCATATTATCCGGATTATCTGTAGTAGTAGCTAGACCAAAATTTAGTCTTTGTTGAGCATTTGTATGTCTTGGAGGTGGTCGATTAGCATTTGTTTGTTGGGCATTCGGTCGTTGACGTTTATACGCAGAACTAGCTTGATTCTGCGCCGACTTATTAATTACACGTGTGCGAAACTGTTGGTTCATTTGACGCTGAAGATCTTGATCCGAATTACTACTTATATCACCCCGTCCGCGTTTGTTAGCGTGTGGCGTAGACGTGTCTGCACCAATGGTCACCGCGGACTGTGTCGGAAGAACATGTTGATATGTCGGTACAGATGGTTGCTGGTGTTCTGTCAACGAAGGCACCAAAGGAGGAGGAACAGGAGACGGATAAGACCTAGTCGTAGCTGACGTCATGTTTGTTGTTCGTTGCATCATCGCTTGTTGTCTCTGTTGTTGGACATAGGGCTGTTGACCATACATCTTTTGATTCATATAATAATAGTTTGGTAATGGAAACTGTTGTTGGTATAAAATTGGGTATGGGTAGTTGAACTGTTCATTTGCTATCATCGGTGTATCATACGTTCGATGTTCTAAATCATTCTCAAAATTGTCATCATTATGATTTGAGTATTGATCATAGTTCTGTTGCTGTAAATTCGGATGAGAATTACTACCACTTGCCATAATAACTCGTCTACTGACGAGCAGCAGGAGTGGTAGAACGAAGAAGAGTTGTAACGCACGCTGTTCTGTTTGTATGATATATTATATTAAATCCTTTGGAAATTGGTGACAAAAATCAAAAATAGTAGTTTTTTGATGGTCACGTGTACCCACGTGGTAAGAAATACGTACTATGTAAATATATATGCGTGAGAGGAAAAGAGAAAACACGCCCGTTCGATAGAAAGTTTATTGTGAATGAATTCTACACGATCTTCGTTGGATTCCTCTCACTGATCATTTTCTAAAAATGAGACTAACGCTTTTTCGACGCATATCAGAGGAAGTGCGCCGGCACACTTAACTGAACATGTTAAGCTTGCTCCGTTGAATACTAGATATAACACCCGATCTAACGATCGTCGACTCTATGCTGTTAATCATTTGAAAGGGACAGCAATTAGATAAACATTTTTTGCATGTGTGCCAATTGAATGGAACAATCTGTCTACGGAAATCTCAGCATCTACTTCTATAACAATGTTCAAAACCAAATTTAATACCTCGATTTTGAAAAACCCAAATAAAAACTACTATCTAAATCCTGATATCCCGCAGCGTCTTGAAGTTCTTTTCACGCGATGTCGAGTAGACTTCCCTCCATTGCGCGAAATACTAAAGGAAAGACATTTGCTAAATATCGTTGAACCGGATTTGTGCGAAAGTGGCCAAACTGAAATTCTTTCTCATTACTTTCTTAATTGTGATATGGACGAAACCCAAAGAAGGGAATTGTGCGAATCATTACTGTCTGTCGGATCTTTTAGTCTGGATCTTGTGCTCTTGCGAATTCACAAGGATTTGGTCCCGATGAAGTTGATTGCTAGTGCTGTTACAAAATACATCAAAGAAACAAATCGCTTTAAATGATTCATCACTTGTCAAAAAAAAATCATTTATTCTTATTTTTATACAATCGAATTCCCTCAGATTTGCGTCACCGTTCTCCTACCCTCTCTTTAATTATCATTTACTCTTTCCTTTCTTCGTTTCTCTTTTTCTTTTGTTGTCTCTTTTACGTCTGTTCATTCACTTGTTAATTATTTCTGTTTTCATTCTTGAAGAATTTAGTTCATCAATCAACACTTTGTCGCCAAGTAAAAATGTTATAATGAGCAATAGCTCGGGTGTCAATTGTTTTGATCACCAAACGCCTTTAGATACAAATGATCACCAAAAAAAGATACTTTTGATCACCAAATTTTCCAGCATCACATTTTTATACATATAAACATATAAATTTTAACAAAGACAATATTTTCACAGTTTTATTTACATTTAT